CGTTTCGCCGGCATCGTCAGTGAGTCTCGCCATTCGTAGCACCATATTACAACTCGTCAAAGAGACAAATCAAGGGATTGTCTCTACTTGTCTCTTTGACTATGCCGGCGAAACAGCTGGAAATACATCACGTCCCCTGTCCAGCGCTGGGAATCACCATGGGACTTCGGAAAAGGTGTGTCCAACTACGCCGCCCCAACAACTCGACCAAGTGTCGAAAACGAGATCAGACCACTTATAGGCATCGAAAGGAGACTGCTGTTGAAACATAGACCCCAATCTCTTGGTCTCCTAATCTACGATTGCACTCGATAATTTTGTTGGTCTGTTAAAAGTGTTGCTGAGCAGAGGAGAAGAGTCAGTTAATCTGATGCTGTCTCAGTCCAAGTTGTTTTGTTATCATCGTCGCGAAGGTGAACACTTCTGCCTGTCTGCCTTAAGCAACGTCAAAGTCCCTCGTATGATTCGCGTTTAATTCAGCATTTGTGGATACGGAGCTGGCAGAAACGACAGCAGCCATCCGCTGTATGACTGCATGTGAATGCAGAGGCCAACCGGTCCATTAGGTCACCCGTCAGTGCATTGGGTGACCATGACTAAATTTAGACCGTGGATGATGCTGGGCTAACAGAGGAATTTACGTGAGCATATGTGAAAAAAATTTTGGCGGCCCTCTATTATTGTAGGACTACCTAAATTGGCTTTTCACGGAAGGAAATCGTCTGTCCTTTAAAGTTATTTATTTCGATGGCAAGTGTGTATTCAAAGATGCCCCCTTTTGGGGGTTTAGGCATTTTAGTCCATTAGGTGCATGTAGATGGCTCACATCCACTTTCCAGACATCAGCAGTCAACTTGTGTGCATGCCGTGACCCGGACGTAATAACAAAAATATCCCGTTACTCTGAGGTATGTGGATGAAGAGTAAAGGGAGAGAGTTATGTCCACAATATGCTACTTGTACTGGTTCCCTACAAAATCTTTATTTCCATTTATTCTGCTGTTATTACCTTCTACCAGTCCGGTCTGCTCTAAATGATGCATCAGAAAGGCTGACAGGTTTGCCGCTTCCCCGGTTTGTCAGCAGCACCGTTCATACATATCGTTTTCGTAAAGATAGTTATGCATATATGGTCTTGTCGCTTTTTATAGGGATTCTGCCAATTTTTAGTCTATATGAAAACATTGCTCAGCATAAAAATAGCCTGGGAGATGTTGTTTACATGGGAATTGTCTCCTCTGATATTTGAAACTGTGGTTCTATGCCGAGTTTGCCTCGACAGACTTTTCAAAGAAAAGTTGGGTTTCGAGGAATCTCTTGTTTCATAATTGTTGAGTTTACTTCCATTTCGAGTGAAAGTATTTGGGGAAGAGATTCGAAGGTCGGTTCCACCAGAAGACGACGGCGTATTCCTCTTGATCAGCTGTCGATTGGCTTTACTGGAAGATTCATACTGACGCTGTTTCTGAGGTAATCTCCTTCGATTCCGGTGAACAGGTGCTAAGCTTTAGTCCATCATATGACGAACATCATCATCGTCAGAACCAATTTCAAGCTTGTGAGTCAACAAACCCAACTTTTCTTCGCATATATTTCGC